AAATAGTTTAGCATCATGCACCATCATGCAAAGATGTTTATCATCATGCACAGCTATGCATGACCGTGCTTGACCATGCCATTTCGTGCCCCCTGCTATGTGTCAAGAAGTGGGCAAAAAGTTATGTTTTTTAATGGGCTTGTGTTTGGGATAAAATTGGTACTTAAATGAGAATAAAAGCACATCATATCATTTTAGATGTTAAAAGAGCACTACCTATTTTGTTGTGAGTGAAATCAACAGTGCGGACTGATCTTTCTAAATCAAGAACTTCATCCGGAAATCTCTGGAGGAAAAGAAAGGAAAAAAAAAAGCAACACACACAAGTACATACCCCGTTAGCATAAACAATTTTTATAGACGTTCCACGCAGCAAATTTAAACTTGAATTATTTCCCAACCCCATTTTGCCAAATGTTAGCAAATACCAGCTTTCGATTTTCCTCATGCTCCATCATAACCAAATTCTCAATGCTGTGAGTGAAGTTTAACCTCAAAATTTCACCATCATACTATAAAGTTATCCTTTATAAAAAGTGATATCACTAATAGATACATTGAGCTTTGCCTATTCATATAAAAGCTAAATTTGAAAGTATCTTCCCCAAAAAAGCCAGCCTTGATTTTGAGCTAATTTTCGATACACCGCTTGTATTCACACTGCAAATTCATATCAATTTCCTCTAAGTCAAAAAAGATTACGCCGTCCATACCATCACATAAAGAACCTAAAGAAAGGCGCTAAACCCAGAAAAATAGAGCCATCATTGGATTTTTTAACCATACTTTCAAACAGCAAAATCCATAAACAGAATCAAACATCAAAAATCAGAAGAAAAAAAAAGATCGTGCCTTTAGTTTAGAGTCGCGCAACGCCACAATGCCGGTGGAGCGCCACCGTGCGAGGCGGGTCCCATCGGAATCGACGCTCTTGCTGCTGCAGCACCCCATTCGATTTCAATCGAATTTTTCCCTCCTTTTGATATCGGAAAAATATGTTTGTTGAAAAAAAAGTTGATATCTTTATCTTATTCCATAGCTGACGATTGATGGGTGATGATCAATTGAAGAGAACAACAGGTGTTTTTGTCTAGCAAATCGGAGGGGACAGGGGAAAATGGGGGGTGCCGGCAAAGAAGAGACTTTGAACAAGAAACCGCGTCAGATTAAATGCTTTGGTTTTTATCTATCCCGATAAAACAATTAAAATTGAAATATACACGTGTCAATATCCTATTTGTGAATAACTGTGGATGGCTCCATAAGCCGAGCCATCCGATGGCTCCATAGCAAAACTGTTATATTGGATACTTATGAACATTTTGAAGAGCATTAATAATGTTATATTCTAGACGTGGTTTATAGGACATAAATTTTTTTATAATCTTTCTTTTTTCTTCACCTTTCTTTTATAACTAGTACGCGACCTGTGCATTTGCGCGGCCTGACATTATAATTTGGGTAGTTATAATTTAATATACCTAGATATTTATAGAGTTAATAAAAAGTAGGATAAATATTTTATTTAGTATATTTAATATATTCTCTTTAATAATTCGAGTAATCGATGAACGTATTTATGATCATTGTCATAAATAATAATCATCAGTTAACTGGAATTCGTGATTCTAGAAACAACATATAACTGATTGTGAATTTGAAATACCATATGTTTTTTTTATAAAAGAAAAATATATAATTAAACTAAAAAATCATTTGTGTTATTCAACAAAAAATGTTTTTCACATTAATGACATTCCTTGAAACTTCATCTTCCTGAATAATAAAGACATTATTATTATTATATAGGTAATCTGATATAAAATAACTGATATAAACATGTAGAAATATGATCCAAATAATTCAAAAAATATAAATTGAATACTTAAAATAAGAAAACAAAAATGAATCAATTTTGAACTGCGTGCATTTTGTTTCAAATTAGGTCCACATATTTTTTTTCTTTTTTTTAGTTATCTAAATAAATTTTAGATTTTTTTTTAAATAAGTCTGATGCTGCTCAAAAACTGACATGCAAGATGGATCACCTTTTATAAACTTACAAATAGGTACAATAACCGTTAATGTTCATGTCAATAACAAATTTATTTCTTTTTTCTGTGAGCAATTCATGTGAAATAAAATTTAATATAATTTTTGGAAGTGAACCTTGATAGAATTTTCGTAAAATAATAAAAAAAATACATTATATAAATTATAAGAGAGTATATTATTTTGTAAAACTAAAATTTATGATATATGATAAGAAAAAAGTAGTTGATGCATTATGGTAAGCCTTATTGAACATTATTATAACAACTTAGTAGCAATATTATACTTGCATCACTCTCTTAACAAAACATGGGTTATAATAACAAAAAATTAACAATAATTAATACTTTATGCCATTTTTAGTCATAAAAATTTATAGTTGCATAATTGTAAATAAATAAATAAATTAAAATAAGGGCAATCAATTTAGTCACAACCATTTAAACGACCTCACATGTCGGTCTCAATAAACAAATGATATCGATTAAAATAAATAAATTACTAACATAAATTATAAATATATTTAAAAGCTAATAACTTTTTTATTTATCATTAATTTTTTATATATAATATACCAAAGTGATTATCGGTTGATATGATTCGATTTGACATCTGCATAGTATATCTATATAAAAAATAAATAAATATATTCATCTTTATAATAAAGATAACATTATATATTAATATTAATTGAGAAAAATATTTAAATTAATTTAACTACAAATTAGTTATATGATGTAAGTTCAAAAATTATTATAATCTAAGATGTTAAGTCGTATAAGTGATGGATGTCATTTTAAATATAAATAAAAATATAATTTAAAAAAATATTTTTTTTATTAATTTAATTTTAAATATAAATTTCTTAGCAATTTTAAACTATAACACAAGCAAAAATACAATCTACTGTACATACATACCCCTATATGTTAATCAAAACATTCCCCCTATAAAAACATTCCCCCAATATTTTAGCAGTTTCATAATTTGGTTTCTACGATTTTGCTATGGAGTTATCGGATGACTCGGTTTATGAAGCCATCAACAGTTATCCACAAATGTGTATTGACACATGTCCTACAATAAATATACATTGAACACGTGTCAATACATAAAGTGATGGATGACTCATTAAGGAGTCATCAAATGACTCCATAGAATTTCTTGTCTCTATTCATCATTTTGAACGTTTTAGTTCGATACATAGAACTGATAATAATCGAGCCTAAATTAGTTTCTGCTGTAATTTATTACAATAGAACCACATATGACCACACCAAAAAATCAACAGAAAAATATATATTAATTATTATACTTCGAGCATAATCGAGACTATATAAGCTCTAATAGTAATTTAGTACAACAACAGAACCACATACGACCACACCACTGAACAGAAATAACATAAAATAATAAATTCATTATTATTTGAACGAGAAATGTTGGATCAAGTACAGAGCACATTACAAAGCATTGAGGTCATGGGCTTGTTATATTTGCTTATTGAACACTGGCATTGTGATGATTTAGGCTTTCCCAGCAGAGCCAAAGAGATTCATTTTCTCGGAAGCAACAGCTTTCATGGCTTCCTTGGCCGATGCCATGACGTGCACCAAATCTTTCTGTACGTTCTTTAGAGAGTTCATGTACGCATTACGGACCTCGGTGTTCACGTTGAATTTCCTTACTCCCCGGCTTATGCATTCCTGTTCGATTCACGTCCACTCAGCAAACTTTTTTCTTTTTCTTTTTTTTTTTCCGAATAAAATAACAACAATGGATAAATCTATTCATCGTTTATATCTGATGAGTACCTGGATGATATCCTTTCCCAGGCCAGAGGCGCCGTGAAGAACAAGATGAACTCCTTTACTTGAGCTCAATTCATACAGATCCTGGAACACCAAAATGAAGGGGACAAAAAAACCCGTAATTTAACTACTGCTCCTTAATATGATGATAGCAACCTTAACATCGTAATTTGACAGAAAACCTCAAAATGAAATGCTTATTAACCTGGAGCAGATCAAGTCTCAGCTTAGGGCCACTTTCAGGGTATTTTCCATGGACATTTCCGATGCAAACGGCCAAAGCATCTATACCCGTTGCATCAATGAACTCACTAGCCTGAAATTTATGAAAGGGCAATATATTGAGAAATGAAATATTTAAAGTTTCATTCAACGAGAAACTAGTTTTAACAGTTATGCATTATCTTGTTTTTTTTTTTTTTGGTAGTTTTTACACAACCCGATCGACATCAGTTAGTCTTGCTTCATAATCTTCTACAGTTAGGCCATCTTCTGTTCCCGATAATCTTCCCAACTCAGCTTCCACCATGAGTTGTTTAGAGTGAGCTAATGTAGAAATGTACTTGGTATATGAAACATTTTCCTCCAAGGATAGATGTGAACCATCAACCATAATGGAGTCAAATCCCTGTCAGTATCGCATATCCAATGACAGAAACAACATATTAGATATAGCATTATTTGGTTATAAGTCTTGATATTTCTGACCAATTATATTATCAGCAATTAAGAGAGCTTACCAATTCCAGAATTTCCAGCAGTTCTCTTTTGGAACTTCCGTGGTCAAAGTGAACTGTAATAGGAACCTGTCAATGAAATTATCGATTTTACATATTCAGGAACTCCTCATAGACTAACTAATCATTTATAATCTGAATATACACAGTCACACTGAACCTCTGTATCTGAAATAATTATATAACCATATATGATTGGAAAAAACTGAATCATTTTTTTTTTTTTAAATGTTAGGACTAAAGAAATTTACAAAACAAATTTAGGCTTGGAGGAAATTTAACTGGTGGTTTGATCTCCATTCTCCATTACTATTTCCAAAAGGACAACCCGAAGTCCAAAAGAGTCTCTCCTTTAAGTAAATCCTACTGTGTTTTTATGAGTAAAAGACCATTTTGCCTTGTATAAATGTACAGATTTTGATTTAAGCAAACTTTCCGTAATGCTCTTCCAAATTGTTGGATACCACTCACACTTGCGTGTTCTGCAGCAGATACACAGCAGGCCACCAATGGAACTCCTCCTTGTTTCCAGGCACTAGGATGGATCTGGAAACATAAAAACCAAAACTATAATACCCAAAGAAATAACGAACGAGAAGATCATTCTCATTAGAGTTGAATGAATATATCGACTCTTCTTGCAGCCATTTTCTTTCGTATATTTAGCTATACGCTCATTCGCAGCACTTGGTCTAGATAGTAAACCATTTGCCCCAATATAATAATGTCTTTGCATTTCAATCATAAATTCTGTGTCAACTAATTAAACCATTTTTATTTTCAATAATATTTGGTATCAAATGTGGATATTGAATTGTTCAATCGCGTTCAAACATATTACTAAAAGTAACATCCAACGCAAACCTGCAAAATAGCAGGGCTCTGCTGTTCCTCGGCTGCGGCAATAACTGCCTCAACTCCTTCGAGATTATAGACGTTAAAGGCTCCAACAGCATAACCACCTTTTTCTGCATTCTTTTACACAAAAAAAGAAAAGGAATTTTAAATGTCCATTGGAAAGTGGAGTGAAGTCTAAATACTGTGGACTGATAGATCATACAATAAGAAGTTGCTTTGTTGAAAGTCTGCCTGGATGTGACCAACGTTTTACAACTTCAGCAACAGCATTTTTGTCACCAACATTTCCTGAGCATTGGATTTATTTTAGGATAGTGGTGAAATATCAAAATATACAGCACAGACGTGTCATCTGGATTACTAAATCCTCGTTTTACCAGGGAAAACGATGTAGGGTACTCCAGGATGTCTGCTTTCAGGACCTAGTTCCCATAAGGGTACCCCAGGCAGAGCTTGGCCCAATATTTTGGCTCGTTTGGCTTCTAGAGCTTTTGTTGCCAGGTCCGAAGAGGTAATTCCACCCTAATATAGAAAATGTATCTATTTAGCGTTAGCCACTTAGCCTTCATATAAAGAAATCTCTCTTGGCATGTAAGGCTATGAAATACAACACAATTCTATTTAGACTAGTAATGAAGAAAGATTACTGAAACCTATTTAACAAGTATAATCTTTAAGGAATGTGCAAGAATACAGAAATTCCACATTCAATTACCAAAACAGAGCTACCTTTGCAAGTATGTACCGCGGTCTTGCAGTTATCCTGCGCACTATTTCCACAAGTGCGGAGCTTACTTTGGAGTTGATCTCTAAGCTTTCGGAAGTAGCTATTACAAACATAATATGTATTTTTAGCAACCATATAAACATGAAGCCAATCCAATACAATATATTCATTAGCAAATTAGTAAACTTCCACGCGAATAAAATGAAACAAGGAAAGAAAAAACAATAAATATGTATAGTTTCACCAGTGACTCAGGGTTGGAAATGACAAAATGACAATTTTGACAAGAATTACTAACTTTTTCCTACAACAAGCTGCCGACTAGTAAGCACAAGAGTGTCTTTCCCACTGCTTAGGTATACATCAGCAATCTCAGCCGTCTGGTTGATCTCTGCCTCTCTTGCTTCTACTGATCTCATGGCAATTCTATCAACAGAAACCTGTTGTAATACAAGGTTACACCACGAATCAGCATACACAATCCTCTCATTCTTTGAATGTCTGTATATAGCAAGAAGAAGCCTGAATACCTCGATCAAAGTCAAGGCATGACCTCTTTGTAACAGTAGCTCTTCTACCTGCATGACGGAAAAATTTATTTTCTCATACTGAAAATTCAATACTTATAATAGCTAAGGGGATGCTTGGATATATATATATTTGATTGGATATTTTGGTTTCTTATGGATAATTTTGAAAAAAAGTGGTATGGTTAGTTATTAATGGGATTTTGAATTTATATTATAATAATATTTAAAATCAAATAATTAAAATCGATTTGATGTAGGAGAGAGGTGATGTGAAGTGATGTTAGTAAAAATTATGTGAGTGGATGAATAGTGAACTAAGGTTGATGTAATATGTAAGAATGATTGATTGATATTATTTAATTGTTTTGATAATATTGAGGATAGTGGGGTTGAGTTAAAGTTCAGTTAGATTTGAGTTAAAATGAGTGATTGGTTAAAAATGATTGGATATTTTAGATAAATTTGTATCCAAGCATCCCCTAAATACTTTTAAGTTTCTAATGAAACTTGGAACCTGTTTTGTAGTTTTAGGAACATATGAACCGACAACTATAAGTCCACCGGCCCTGTTTCTAGATATTGCAAGATCACTTGGCAATAGTGGAGATTTTGGAATGATTCCGACCCGAGTTGATACAAAACTAGCTGCCGTACGGCATAAGAAGTTCTTGCCCTTCAGCTCAGCCTATGAAGAGATGAAAACAGCTTTTTTCATGCGTACTATAAACATAGCTAGCTGCAGTAAATCTCCCAAGGCAACAAAAAGAAGAAGCAAAAGTATCTACCTGAATCATTCCTGCAGCAAATACAGCCATGTCTCTTTCACTGGCAGAATTAACTATGCATATTGACCCCTGTATCAGTCGGCAGCATAAGCCTCATAAAGATAGGTGGTGGGAATGAGAAACATTTTGAATTGCTTACACTGAGTAATTTGAAGCGTAAAGTTGGGGCTCTGAGTAGACTGACTCATAGTATGGGAGTTCATAACACTGGTTGAGGTTAATACTGCATAATGTGAAGCTTAAAGATGCAATAATAATCTTTACGTACTCACCTTTACCTGAGCTTCTATAATTCAATTATTTATTAGAAAAAGGAAGTTTTACCAGCTATAGTAGTTGAACTGTTGAAGAATATAAGTCCTAATTGTTTCTAGTTAAAATACACATGGTTTCATCCACACATTGGTGAAGATATTATAACCGGTGAGCTTTACTGTTATCCTCAATCTAGCAGTGTTCAAGCTTATCAAAATCAAACATTTATTATCCCGCATTTATGTACTTACATGTTATACAGGCTTAAGTCTTTTAACCATACCCTTCCCTCTCGTTCCTCAAAATCATACTTTTGCTTGGTCAAGATTTTTACCGTAACTATAGAAAATTAAGTTGAGGCATATGTTTGCCTTCAGAGACAATGAGAAACTTCAACGATCCAATTAAGGAACTGATAAAAATAGTTATCAAAAGAAAAATTTACGACATCAAACTCTTTTCTGTGTTAATGTATAGAAACCAGGACGTTGTCCCTCTTATGAACAAAAAACACTTTGGGACAAATGATCAGAATAAAAAAAAATGAAATCGTGATTCTTTTTTCTACCTTTTTCAAACTGCAAAGAAGATCACAAACAGCTCCAGGTCCACCCCTCCTTAGTAGCTGAATAGAAATGGAAGAAACACTGCTTGCTGGTATCCGACCACCAGTTTTCTCCTCCACCCACTAAAACCTCAAACGGAAAGGTACACGATTTTTCAGAAGTTGTAATTTGTTATTTTATCTCACAGGTATTATTGATTCACTAACCTCTCGCAGATTAGAAGATTTGTAACCGAAAGAAGCATCTTTAGCAAACTCTGTTTTACCAGCAGGGATGAGCCTGTTGACCAAATGCTCCAAAATTATGCCAATGATTTGGATAATACAGTGAGATATTAGCAATGAATATATGAATAATTCAACCTATCAGAATCTGCAACATAGTGTACATCTCCGATAGTGTAGCGGCCTCCTTGTAGAAAAAAGGGACAAATTATCCACACATCCACTTCACCAATTACAGAGACAGCTGCATCTGCTTCCTACTAATTCAAAATCAAACCCATCAAATTGCATCTCAAGATATGAAGATACTGTTATATATGGGGTTTGGATGATCAATGTCCTTGCCTCCGGGAAGTGACCTCGTAAAGTTGAATCCCCTCTCAGAACCACAGTGTAGTCAGTGTTCCCCACTGACTTTGCAGCGGCAGACAAGTTGCTGCAGATTTCTGCTATTAGTGCACTAGCCTGTGCCATGGAAGTTGTATTATGTAATTAAATTGAGTAGAGAAACTAAAGGTAAGATGACTTCTGTTTCTTAAAAAAAAAAAAAAAAAAAAAAA